AACCCTACACCCTAAACCTCCCTAAGGCCCGGCATACGGGCCATTCAGGATTCTCGGAGGAATTCGACCTCGGGCTGGAGGCCTAAGGGCTCTGCATTTGGAGTTAAAAGTTTAAGCTTTCGGGTTTAGGGTTTAGGGATTTGGGGTGTGGGGTTTGGAGTTTAGGGCTAGGGTTTCGGGTTTAAGGTTTGCAGTTTAGGATTTAGGGTTTAGGGTTTCGGGTTTCGGGGTTTAGGGGTTTGGAGTTTACGTCGTTACAGAAGGTAGGTTCTTTAGGGGCTAGGTAGGGTTTTAGGGTTTCGGGTCTTATCTTCCGCTGGAGGCTTGTGGGCTTTGGTCGTGGGGCTGCAGATTTAGAGGACTAGTCGCCTTTTGTCCCTTTTGCTGTCTTCTGGACTCATCCCGTTCCCCAAGAATCGACGCAGGGCTTTTAGGGGCTCATGGTTTTAGAATGGCTTAAGGCTCAGGAATTTAGGATTCTGGGTCCAGGGTTTGTAGGGCTTGAACTTTAGAGGTCGGGCTTGGAAGTCCCGTCCACAAGCCGCAAACTGCAAGTTCGTCTCCGCCTGCTCAATGCGCGGGAGGGACGTCATGGCAAGTGCTGCGAGCCCTGAAAGCCTGGCTCATGCGCAAGTCTGCATCCCTAAACCCGTGAGGCCTACAAACCTTGGGAAGAACTTTCCGAAAGCAGCGATGAAGTAACCGTTGCCTCTCCCCTTCAGGGGGATGGCAAAGGCTGGCAAGCCGAAAAGGCTGCGAGCAGTGCGCACGGCCACTGCAAAAATACTACAACACTATAATATGCAATAGTATATGACAATGTACCATAACATACTAGAATATACGATAGTATGCTCGAATATACTCTAATAAACTAGAATGTGCTACAACATTCCTTAGGGTTGAGGGCGATCAGACTCTCCGGGACTAGAGATCAACCACTAGGGTGTTCACGGCTTGGGAATTCGTCGATAACGGCTGGCTGTCGGCCCCACTGTTCGAGCTGTAGGCTTTGCGGTTCCGCGGTTTAGGGTTATGATGGTCATGACGAACAACATGACGATGTCATGATTATTCTATTGCTGCCGCTTTGCAGTGCTTAGCTGTGTTTGCTTCCACTGCCACGGAGCCTTCGTGATACAGACCCTAAACCCTAAACCCTAAACCCTAAACCCTGAACCCTAAACCCTAAACCCTAAACCCCAAACCCTGAAACCTAAACCATAGATCCATGAATATCCTTGCTGTGAGCAACCCCTGGCCCGACCATTGGGCTGGAGATCCTAAGGCCCCAAACCTTAAACACGCGCCCCGAAACTCCACACCCACAGCACTCAAACCCATGCTGCCGGTTCGCAACTACCTACCACCCCCCAAAAAAAGGGGAACGCAACCGTACATACATACGTACATACCTACCTACCTACCTACCTACCTACCTACCTACCTACCTACATACATACATACATGCGTAGATGTATATTATATGAGAGAGAGAGTGAGGGACAGAGAGAGAGAGAGAGAGAGAGAGAGAGAGACACAGAGTCACCACTCTCCCTCTCTAACCGTAAACCCATAGCCCAAATGTCTTAAATCCTAAACTTCGAACTTTCAAGGGAGAAAACACTGCAAAGACAAGCGGCGCTGCTTTGCAGCAGCGCGATGCGCCGCTCTGCCTCGACACGGGTTTAACAATCCTCTAGGACATGGGGCTTCGATTTTTTTGAATCTACAGAATCCAGTAGCCGGTTCTATAACATCACAAAAGGGCTGTATGATGGCATATGATGGTATGTGTTTACGGGGCTTCGGGTTATACAGATCAGCTTGTTGGGGTTAACTTGGCTCGGGGGTTTTGAACCCTCGGCCTTGGTATGGATTTTGGCGCTCAGATTTTCGGCTTCGGCTGCAAATACTAAACCCTAAAGCCCACAACCCGCAAGTCCCTAAACCCTACAGCACACCCTAAAGTCCTAAAGCCTAAACCATAAACCCTCAAAGCCCTAAACCCTACAGATCAAGGTCATACCATCCTTCTGGTTCTGCACAGTTCCGCAAACAGGTCTAGAGAAGTGGCAATGGTGTCTCTGTCTGTCCCTTTACGCTTGTTCCCTATATAATGGCCCTCAACACCGTACTCAAACGCTTAACGCAGGACCCCTACAATACCTCATAAAGAAAAACCTTTAAGAAACACTCTTCTCATATACTTAAAACACCCCTATAATCCATACCGCCCAAAAGTGGGTCTGTGTTCTGTCGGAGACACACACCGAGTTCCACTGAATATAGAAGCCACAGGAGCCCGGGCCGGTTCTAGTATGGCGGTTTAGGAATTTGGGCTCGGGGTTGCTTAGGGGTTTAGGGTTTATGGCATAATCATGGATAACCGTACCGATTCTTCAGGCACCTTACGTGCTGGAAAGGTTCGGTGCAATTTCTGCACTGAAGTGACAGGCGTTGTCGAGAGTTCGCTATACCGAGACGCACAACTCTGTCCTGTTGTCAAACAGAGCTGCACTGGTGGTCGGCGCGCCATCGTACCGGCAGCGACGACTTCAAAACAGACTTGATGCAATGTAGACTTCCCCCATAGTCTGTCGGAGGCACCGACAGTTATGGGATCACGGCCTCTTGCACGGCCTTGCCTCTTTTGAGGCGGAGACCAAAACAGCAACAGAAGCCGCAGCTCAGCGCCAGCATCGGGAAGCCTGGGATCTCAGGGTTAGGAGACGAAGAGAAAAGGGGTTTAGAGGTTTAGAGGTTTTGGGTTTTGGGTTTAGGGCTTTTAAGTGTACAGGTTTTGGATTTAGGGTTTTGGGCTTAGGGTTTAGAGGTTTAGAGGTTTTAGGTTTAGGGTTCAGGGTTTAGGGTTTTAGGGTTTAGGGACTCCTTCAGACTATTGGGAACCCCAAGCCGCCAGAAGCACAAGGATCCCCGACAGCGACCAAGAAGCAAAGGATGCCAAGGGCAAGTAGGCCATTGAACCCCGATTGGTCTCCATCATAGGTGACCTTGGCTTCTCTTGAAAAATACATAAATTCCCCTACCCTCAGCCCTAAACCTCCACCATACAGACAACAGAGGAAACCCAAGAGCGAATGTCTTTAAGACGTATGAGCCCAGCAGAATACAGCCAGGTAACAACTTCTGTTCCCCCATCTCCACCATATTGGCCATTGGGAGTGTCGGGGAAATAGGGGCCTTCATTGGCTCTAATTGCGGGTTTAAGGCTTGTGAGGGTTTAGGACTTTAGGGTGTAGCGTTTAGGGTTTAGGGCTGTTTGCTTTAAGGGTCAGGGCTTTAGGGTTTAGGGCTTCGGGCTTCAGGGTTTCGGGTTTTGGCCTTCGTCGATGATGTAGATGGAAGCACTGGGATACAATTCCATCTCTTCTGGCCGGATTCCATAAATGGAGGTGCAGTACCTGGCCGCCAAATTTGAGCTTAGGCTCTGGAACTTTCTGGTTTCGGCGTTCCCGGTGATCCCCCAAATAATGAGGGGTACTTGTCTTCCTCTTGATCAAAGGTCAATATCCCCTAAGTAACTTCCCTTTTCCTCTTACTCAGAAATCAGTTTCGGATTTCAAGAAGGAGAACGCACATAAAACACGAGTATATATAAGGAACTAGGTACCCCATCTCTTCATAGCTCGTGATGAGATCCATCTCTTTGTCCCACACAGTCTTGTGAAGGCTGATGATGGAGGCACCTGCAGCTGCATGGAAAATGCCTGTCTTCAAGAAGAAGTACAATCCCAGAGGTGCATAGCTGCCTGGGTGTAGGTACACCGAGACATGGTTGTCCAAGCCTGCTTCCTCCAGCTTGTTCACCATGAGCCGTCCCGTGTTGGGGTAGCCGGTCGCAAAAATCGACGAAGACTTTGCGGAACAGGGTGACGTCCGCAAGGCCTCCACCGAACGCTCTGGACATCGCTCTTCACATCGAAGTCAAATGCCACTGCGGGGTTGCTGGTGCATGCATTTGTTACGGTCTCACCAAGGCGTGGGACCCTCGTGGTGGCGTCGTAGGTGTGTCCATCCACTTCGGCAAGTACTGTCAGATCTTGCACTTCTGACCAAGGCGTTGAATCAACAACTTTGTCCACTCCTGTCATGCGTATGAAGTTGTCGTCGTGGTGAATGATGGCCACCTTGTCCGAAGTACTCATGACATCAATCTCAGGATTTGCGCCTAAGGCGGCAGATCCTGCGACCACACTGTCTAGTGTGTTTTCTTGCCCGTGCGTCAAGTTGCCCCGGTGAAGGTAGATCACTGGGCCAAACTGATCATAGCACATCTTTCGTGGTGGAGCTCGAGAACCGTAGAGCACAGCAAGTGTTGCAATGCCACCTCCCAGCCACATAAGCCCACAGCAACTGCTGCAGAGCAGGCCCAGCACATTGCAAGAGCAGCACTTGGGCATCTTGGGAACGGCTCTAAGCCGACCGATGCAGCAGGGCTCTACTCACTGCCGCTGCTGCTCCTGTTTTCGAGGCTTTGGAGGCTTCGGCGGCGAAAGAAACCCCTCGAGAGTTCTGAAGCCCTGATACCCCCAAATACCCTGATAACAGCTCCTAGCCCAACATGCTGCAACGTCATCAACCCAGACCTCCTCCTCCTCCTAGCACAGGGGCCCGAAGAACTAGTATGGGCAGCTCTTCAGATATCCAGAATCTGCTGCAGAGCAGTTAGGAGAGTCCCGCCTTTGCGCTTAGGGTTGTGTGCCTCGCAACCCGACCTGAGCTCTGAAAAGTCGGAAAAAGTCGCCCCTGCGGTTTAGAGTTTAGGCTTTAGGCTAGGGTTTTGTTTGTTTAGGGTTTAGGGTTTAGGGTTTAGTTTAGGGGTTTAACCCTAAACCCTGCACCCCCAGGCTCCCCGAGACCCTTCTACCAGAAACCCACTTTCATACCTCGCGGCCCCTGAGTCATAGACCCTAGAGCCAAGGTAACCAGGAAGCCTCATCCTCAAACCCAAACCCATGCAGGCCTCCCGGCGAAGCCCGGTATGGCAGTTTTAGGCACGGCGCGCCGGCTTCCCGGGCTAACAAAAACTGGGGATTGGGAGTTGGGGCTTCTAGGGCTCGGGGTGGCGAAGATGGGTTCGCGATGAGAAGAGGAGCATTGCATTCCCTCAGCACCATTCTTACAGCTGCTATCGTTGCAGGGTTTGGGGCTACTGCTTGGCATTCTCGTCAACATTGCCCATGTATTGAACATGGTTTTTCCAAGTCGGTGGACTGCTTAGGACATGGGGTCGTCCATTCACGCCTGGTGCGAGCATTCTGGCGAGCTGCGAAGCGGGCGACTGGATTTGGAGTGACACTGCAAAGCTGAAACTGCTGCAAAATCACACCTCTCCACCCCAAAAACCCTCAAACCCGAAACTCTAACACCTACACGCTAAACCCTAAACCCGAAAACCCTCGGACCCTAAACCTTACAACACCCTAACCCTCAGCTCCCACATAATAAAGCTTCAATCTTACACCCGCCTCAGCCCCGGGCCGTCAGATCCTTCAAAACCCCGAAGACTCAGAAAAGCCCTAGAGATTGGAGTATAACATTTCAGATTTGTGGAACCCTTAACCCTAAACGTCTTCCTGCTGCAAATAATTTGAAGCAGCCCTAAGGCATACGGTTTCTAGGCGAGGTCTTCCGGCTCTGAAAGAACCGCTACGGTTTAGGGTTTTGGATTAGGCATTTGGGGTTTCAGGATAGGGTTTTCCATAGTTAAAAGGTCTACGATAGCAGCGCCAATAAACCAAACGGTTGTCATGCAATTTCTGGTGCTAGTATGGTGATATTTCGGGAAAAGCTTCTTCGACCTTACCCTAAACCCTAAACGCTATGCTAAACCCTACACCCTAAGAAAGCCGTGCTATTTGGTGTTCATTTGTTCGGGCCTTCGAAAGTTGGGGTTCCTGATGGGGCCCTAGCTTCCGATTTTGACTCGCCTAGGGCTGAGACTTCAGGAGCCCAAACCCTAAACCCTAAAATGAGACTTCGGGAGCCTAAAAACTAAACCTTAAATGAGACTTCAGGAGCCTGATCCCTAATCCCGAAACCCTAAACCCCAATCCCCAAACCCCAATCCCCAAACCCTATACCCTAAACCCTAATCCGTAAACCCTAATCCCTCAACCCTAAGCCCGAATCCCTATACCCTAAACCCTAATCCCTAAACCCGAAACCCTAATCCCCAAACCCTAAGCCCTAATCCCTAGACTGCTCAGAGACGAGGTTTGAGAGTTACGACGTCGGATCGAGGCCGAAGGTTTGCAGCCTAGGAGCGCAACAGTCCAAACACATCTCTTCAGGGTCGAGGGTTGAGGGTTTAGGTTTTTGTTTTTTAAATTGGGGTTTAGGGTTTAGGGTTTAGATGTTGGTTGTTAGATTTGGGGTTTAGGCTTTAGGGTTTAGGGGTTTAGGGTTTGGGGGGGTTTGGGGTTGAGGGTTTAGGGTTTAGGGTCTAGGGCAACCCTCCTCCTCATACTTCTCCTGCTCCTCCCTCTCCTGCTACTCCTCATGATCATCCGCATGGCCATCGTAAGAGCGATGGTAGCAGCAGAATCCTGAACTTCAACCACACTATCAACACCCTAAAACCCTACACTCACCGTCGAGAACCCTTAGAAGAAACCCCTATCGAAGCCTTAGAACAGAACTCTACACTTCTTGGGAGAAGAAGGGCAGCCAACTCCTCGAGCTGGTGTATCGCATCCTCGGCCGTTCTCAGCTCGTGGGCAGGGACTCCCATCTGCCTCGGCTTCGGGCTTCGGGGCTCTGTGCCCCTAGGGGCCGGAAATAAAATCCTGAAATCCGACTACCCGAGACTCTTGGTTCCCCAGTAACCCCTTAACAATAAGGGTACCCTTTTTCCTAATATTTGGTTTTAATACGGGGACCCCAAACTAAAAGGGGCAAAAGGGTACTACTGGAGCACCTAGGGCTAGGCCGCAAAAGCAGATCACCTCACCACGGCCTCGGAAGATCGGCTCTTGGCCTAAAACAACGTTCGACTACTTCCCAGTTCTGAGCACACAATACCCAAAAAGCAAAGCAGGAGAGGGCTTTCTCTGGAAGACCTCGAACCTGTGAAACTCATCTTACAAACCCCCTAAAAACTACCTCAGAAACCCACAGTTGGCTTCTGACCTGTGGGATTCTGAGTACCCTTACATGCACTGCGCTTTGTTACAGCTCCCTGCCGAATGTAACAACCGACGTCGCGCAACCCTAAACCCTAAACCCTGCACCCTAAACTCTAAACCTAAACTCTAAACCCGGCCATAAACCCTAAACCCTAACCTTCCTGAAGCCCTAAACCCCTAAAAGCGAGATTCGGGCCTGGCTCGTTCAACGTAGCTCGGCAGCTTCTGGCCGTCCTGGTTCTAGGCTATGCGGTGTCGGTTCTTTTAGGGTTTAGGGTTTAGTCTTTAGGGTATTGTTGCAGGTTTAGGGTTTAGCGTTTAGGGTGTGTGTGTGTGTGTGTGCGCGTGCGTGCGTGCGCGCGTGCGCGTGCTTTGCGCTTTGTGCTTTGTGCTTCCTTTTTTTGAAGGTGCTTTTTGGGGAGAGTGAGGGGGGCGCTCGCTTCCTTCTGCATTGTCTGCGTCAATTCCTAGAAGGAGGAGGCTTTGGAAGGGGCAAGAAGGACAGCAGGACAGAGTGCAGGGTTTACGGTCTGTCTCGGTCAGGTTCGGGACAGGGTTCTAGATGCCCTTCTTGCAGGTAGTGATTGTCCCAGCCCACATGCTGCGCTGCCCTAGCCACTGACCATCACTTTCCAACATATCCATGGCTGAAAACCACCGATGATGATATACTTGCTTGCCGACCACCCAGCGAAGCCCCGATGGGGTGTTGAATCTTGAAACCTGAAGCTGTGTAAACAAGCCTGGCTTGGATTCCATGAGCCAACCTATAAAACCTGCGCTCCCTTTGCAAATGCTGCGCGTCTGAATTGGTCATTTTGGATAGTATGTGGTATGATGTTCGTTTCTTGCTTACCTACACCTTCGTCCATCGTACACTCGCCACTATACCTCCAACACATTGCAACAATGCAAAACAAGTCAAGCCTTCTGCCACATCACGACAGCAGTACAGCTACTACTCAACTCAGCGACCTAGCCCAATCGCAGATACCCAAACCCTTAACCCTAAACCCTAAACCCTAAACCCCCTAAACCCCTAAACCCTAAACCCTTAACCCTTGAAGCCCTGGAACTGACGGTGAGATGCAAGCTGCAGCTGCGAAATAGCATCCTTATCCAAGTGCAGCGGTCTATGCAGGCTTCAGCCGCATCGATAAGCCATCTCCGAAGATATGTTTCTGGTACATCGCTGGATGTGTACAGACAGACTGGCATAGGAGAGACAGAGAGACAAGGGGATAACATTAACAGCATTTCTCTGAATAGTTGTCGAAAGTCGAAAAATCAGCTTTCCAGCTCCCCCGGCACTGCCCGAAAGCACGCAGGACTTAGACACGAGACACCAAAACCGAAGACTGAGATTAAAAGCCATGTCCCACATCATAGCCCAATGAACTAACACCGGTACTACCCCCTAAACCCTAAACACCTACGCCCTAAGCCCTAAACGCCTGATGGCACCCCAACCCACCTTGGTTCGAACCGCCTTGGCCACCCTTCGCTTGATTTCCTCCTGCCAGGCAGAAAGAAGGCCCTGTAACGTACACTGGGGGCTTGGGGTTTTAGGG